TGAAATACTGAAAGACAATTCAATGATGGTCAAAATATAATTGCTGTAGTGGATGAGACAGTGAGCCACAACATTAAAACCACTGACAGGTGACGTGAATAACACTGATTATCTTGTTACAAGGGCACCTGCTGTATATTAGGCAGCAAATGAACAATCAGTTCTTGATGTTGAGGTTGGATCTTAATAAGTATAACAACACCTGTATTGTTGTGTTTAGGGGACTGGGTCAGACCAAAACGACAGGTGTTTTGGGGTGTTCCTGGTGTGCAGTGGTTGGTACCTTCCAAGAGCGAGTTCAGTGAGGTTTATGTGGAGTGAAGTCTGGCCTGTGTGGTAGGAAATTACAGAAGAGCTACTGCACCATGATACCTGTGAACCTTAATACTGCCATGATAGAAAGGTGACAAAAAAGAAAGAGTGTTGCTTCTTGTCTTGTTGGTGCCTTCATGGCTGCAGACCAGTTAAAGTGCCCATGCTAGCCTCTTCCACCATTGAAAACACCTACAGTGTGTACATGCGTGTCAGAACTGGACCATGGAACAATGGGAGAAGGAGGTCTGGTCTGATGAATCATGCTTTCTTTAACATCATATTGATGCCGGTATGTGTGTGTGGCTTACCTGGGGAAAGGATGGCAGCCAGATGGAAAGAAGGCCGACCAGCAGAGGCAGAGTGGACAATGTTCTGCTGGAAATCTTGGGTCCTACATTCATATGGATGTTACTTTGACATGTTACACCTCCCTAAACATAGCAGCAGACCATGTAGACTCCTTCATGGCGGTATTCCCCAATGGCAGTGGTCTCTTTCAGCAGGATAACCCTCAGAAGGAGTTCAGGAAGTGCTTGAGGAACGCGACAAAGAGCTCAAATAGTTGACTTGACTTTTAATCTGATCAACCATCTGTGGATTTGCTGCACATCAAATCTGATCACAGCTTACAGAACTAAAAGAATCTGCTGCTTACATCTCGATGCCTGATACCACGGGACACGATCAGAGGTCTATGGAGTTCAGGCCGACAGGTAAGAACCGCTTTGGTTGCATAAGAGGGACCTAGAAGACATTAGGCAGGTGGTCTTAGTGTTGGAGCTGATCAGTGTCACTTGACGTCTCAAACTAATGCATGAAGTTGAAGTGAAAGCCCTGGATGAACTTTCAGTGTATGAACTCAGGGATAGTGAGGTGTAAGCACATAGTGAATATATTGGTATTGTATACATAAATATGTGTATGAACGGTAGAATTTGTTGGTCTTTGATGAAGAGTAGAATTGATATTTTTGTGCTGCTCACTGATAAAGAAGTCAGACTTGACGTGTCAGTTGAGTGTTAAGCTTCAGAAGGAACTGAGATGTCGGTTAGACCTCAAAACTAGAGATGCGCAGATCCGATACTGGGTATCGGTATCGGTCCGATACTGGACGAAATTCCGGTATCGGATGATTTCTTTCACAGTGGTAACTGGCCGATCCGATACCACCACACACACACACACACAGTCCTGCCTTCCAACATACCCACGTGTTCGTCTGCTCATTGGCTACAAGTGTATCGCGTCAGAGAGTGTCTGCAACCCGACTGGTCGAATCTACAAGGGTGGGACTTGTGCAGACCGGGTTGACTGTCTGAGACACTCCATTGGCCCTTCAGGCTGTCACTCACCCCCAAAGCCCTCCTATTGGCCAAACTAGGTGTCAATCAAAAGCTGAGACGTCCGTCTAGCTGACTGTAGCGCTTTCAGCGCGATCTGAAATAGGTTCAGGCTGATGCCAGAAGAAATGGATAAAACAGCCGGAGCTGATCTCAAGCTGGGAAGACATTACTGCAGAGTTTGTGCCTTTGAGGATCTAATACGTTTTACGGACCGAATTATTTTACGGGATTATGTTCGCTGGTTGTGTCCGGACAGAATGAGACCAAGCTGGTGAGGAATGAGCGATGTTTGAGCTGCAGAGAGCCTTCAAAAGT